TCCATCCATCCATCCATCTATCTTTGTCAACAAAGGCAGGGGAGGAGGATGAGATATTGCTCTGGGTTTTTTTTATTATTATTTATCAAAAACATATAACTAACTTGTTGAACACACTTTGGAAGTTACCAGAGAGTAACCTTTGAGTGACATACAGCACTGACAGAGGTCACTGTTTGCCTCAGACCGTGGACCAGCAGATAATAAGCCTGCCTCCCTGTAGAGTATCTGTGGTCTGTGGTAGTTTACCTTCAACAGAGCCTTGAACACAAACACACACAGGCTTTAATTCAATTCCACTCTCTCTGACACAGAAGTATTTCAACACTGTCTGATCGATGGTGGACGGCTGTGGAGGTGTTCAGGTGATTTTTGTTCGCCTGTGTCTCGGTGCGACGGTGTCGTTTTGGCAGCAGATAGATGAAATGCATTCGTCTTCATTTGTTGGTTTGAGGAGTTACATGGTGGAACAGAGGCTCTCTGCTCACCCCAAGCTTTAGAACACTTGTTTGACACGTAGACACACATCATCATCATCATCATCATCATCATCATCATCATCTCTCTCTCTCTCTCTCTCTCTCTTTCTCCCTTTCTTTAACCACTGGTTTTGCACCGCCTTCTAATCCTGTATTCTGTTCGGCGTGTGCGTCCCTCTTGTCCCACTTGTACCAACATCTCTGTCTTTTGTAGCAATCTGGCTCCGTGTCACTGTGACATTTGACAAATAACTTCCTCTGCCCTTTACGATCTGAATAATGAAAATGTTCTCAGCAGTGACTGCTGCTCACAGACCTTCACATGAACGGACCTGCTGTCCGACTGTTACAAGACCGACTGTCAAATACGGAGGCCTTTGTGGTACTAGACAAATTACTTACTTAGTACTGCATTATTTCCACATATTATTTAGTGAAACTGAGTGAAATAAAATCACAAATAATCAAAAAAGGGAATTAATACAAAAAATAAAGACTAAACTGTGACTAAACTTCATAAAAACGGTGGTTTGAGTAAAGTACTGACACGTGTCTGATCAGTACTGTTTTGTGTCAATATTTTAAAGGGATGACATGCTGTGTCACAGTTACAGGTAAAAAACAAGGGAAACAACATGAGCCGCGGCCACCGCTGTATGTTCAAATGTCACCTTGAGTCAGGGAGTAGAAGACTACCAGGAAAGTGGAACACCGTTGACTCAGAGAAGTGACTTCATTAATAAAAGACACATTGAGACAGCAGCGCAGATTCAACAATGAACAAAATGAAATGAGCTAAAGCTGCAGCCAGACAAAAAAAACAACAAAAAAAGACTATTGTCTGAGAATAGATCAGCACATGAATGGCAATGAACTCCTAGATTGTAGGAATGTGGATCAGTTACCTGCAGAGGATGACGTACAGGAAGAAGAACTATTTATTTCATTTATGTTCTTGAATAAATATATAAAATACATACAGAACTTGTAAAAAGATCTTCACCCTCTCATTTTTAATGAATGTATTCTATGATTAGTAACTACGCAGAAGTTAACTGGTTACCACAGCGAGCTCAACAGAAAGTCTGTACTTTTAGACCAATCAGGTTTCCTGCTTTCCTGTAAACAAAGTCTCCCTTTAACAGTATTCTATTGGTTGAATTTACACATTAACACACAGTGTTGGTTAAAAAGGTCTCAACAACAAAGTGACTTGTTGTGGTGTAATCTTCTTTTCTATCCACTGTGCTGTTAAAGTGAAACCACATATTAGTAACAGAAGGATAAAAATAGACCCTACAACCTGGCAACCGGCTCTTTAAACACTTGATACCATGTACTGTAGCCCAAAGCAGCAACATATGAACCATCACATCAATGTAACCTTTAACTGGTCACAGAGTATGACAAAATACAGCACCAGACAACAGAGGTGACTGTAAGAAGGCCGTAAACCTGTGTTGTTGAACATGTCGGCCATGATACCAGGCAGGTAAATACACGTTCTTTAAAACAATGAGTATTTTCTGACTCCTGACTCACTCCTGCTCTCAGTGACTCATTTTGTGTCTGCAGACGTGTTCTTGTGGAGCACCTGTGGCTCTCTCTCTCTCTCTCTCTCTCTCTGTGTGTGTGTGTGTGTGTTTGTCACTGGTTCTTTAAGAGCTGCATGTGGCAGGAAAGGCCGAGAGGAAAACCACATCAGAAACGGGGATAACGACTGTTTTCATGCAAAGCCGTAGTCACACACACGCATCTTTACAAAAGCAGCTATTGTCAGAGAGGAGCAAAACCACAACAGAGAGAAGGCATTATGGGTAAGCAACAGGTATAATGCCGTACACAGGTTTAAAGCACTTTCTGCTCAGACATGTTGTCATTTCCTCAGATTATGGGCAGCTAACGCTGAGTGTGCTGGTGTGTACAGGAAGGTCTGATCAGAATCACTTCTGTTGGTGGAAAAGCAGTGTTTTATTTTTAGAGCCCAGTTGTCAATGACCTGCTGTGACCTCCGACCAGGATTCACATCACTTCACCCCCTACGTTACTTACGTTTGTACTGTGTATTTATACAAATGAAACAGATGAAAATACTTTCCATAATCCTGCCCCATTCTTTTACGTCTTACTTTTCTTTTTACTTCTTTGGAAATTCCAGCTTCTCTAAAACTCCCAGAGCAGGTTTGGGCAGCTCCCTTGTTTACCTTTTCCCTGGCCCCCGCCCTGCAGCTCACTTCCTGATCACCTTGGCCTGTCGAAGGTGTGCTGCCTCAGAGCTCACACATGAGCAGCAGGGCTGGAGAATTCCCTCAAGACTGACAAGCAGATAAAATTTCTTTGCTGTCGGACCGGCAGCCAATCCACGGGCTGCGTGACTGGGACAAAGTCCCCTTCACTGAGTCATCTAACTCCCCCGTCCTTCCCTCCACCTTGGCTCTCTGCGGTTTAACGTTACACCCTGTGCTGAGTTTTACCTGTTCAGGTGAAATGCTCAACTGAAAGTGAGTGTCTCTTATGTAAGTAAACTTTCTTTTCTTCCTAAACAAATCCTTAAGTCAGAGACGTGTTGTTTGTCTAAATGCTGTCAGTGATGACATTAGCGTAAGACGTTAACTAAAGAGAAATATCCACGTTACCTGTTGCTGCGTCGCGTACTATTAGCATCGAGGTCATTTGCATCTGCTACATGTCAGGTA